TGCAGTCTGATTGGTCAATAGAGGACAGTCACTCTGCTCAGGGCCGAGTTGTAACCACTGTTCATACCTTGGAGAGTTTTACGTTAGTAAACTATAGCCTAACTATAAAAATAAAGGATGTTTCGATGCCTCTTGCAGCAGCTGTAGTCTGAGAAATAAAAACTTAATTCACTGGGCCAACTGCCGGCAGCTTTTAAGGTGGAACTTTTATTTGTAATGTTACTCAATATATGAGCTGGCGACGTGAATGCATCAGCACACCTTAAATTTCACTGTGACAACTTTGACCTTTTGATTGGTTTTATTGTCTCTCTTGGATGACACAGACTTTTAGTTAAGAGTGGATCTTCAAGCGTTAAAAAAATATCTATTAATTTTGACTGGATTATGTGACCTGCTTTCTAATCCTTGCCCGGAGAAAAAAAAGCATCATAGAGCATTTTTCCCGTGGGCTTCAGCCGGCCGTGTTTGCCTGAGAAGGACTAAATGCACAAACTAATTTTTAGATATCCCATGGAGAGAGACTCTCACTGCAGCCTGTTCTATATTGTTCTGAAAATGTCAGTGTGCAATCCCGTTCTTTGGACAATAAACGAGGTGCAGACGTTCCATCTATGAGGAAATTGAGCGTGTTCTAGATGGAGCAGTGAGTGGAAAATAAATGAAAGAGTACTGTTTATGATGGAAACGCCAACGGACCAAGGGTCGAGGTACCATGTCTGAAGGGTTACTTGTGGTTCCAAAGGTACCATACCGAAAGTGTTTGGTGGAAACGGGGCTTAAAACAGTAGTTGCCAGCTGCACAGGGCAACTTGCTGTGTGGCTACTTTTGTGGAGTACAAAGAAGAACTGATTTTATCCATGTGTGAAACAACATTAGTGTTCTTTATTTTAGTGTATCAGATTGGCGCATAGACTCATCACCTTGCCAATACCTGATGCAGCATTTTAGGCACTATCGGAGGCATGTCCGATATTGGTGTTGGTATCAAAACAACTGTACCTAATAGATCGTTCTAGCTGTTTTATCATTTGCCTTTACCTACATTACTGATTATTATTCAGTGAAAAAATCTCATTGTGTAAATATGTTATGAAAGCAACAATAGTCAGCCCTATTATATCATTGCAATATCAATATCCGGGTATTTGGTCAAAAATATTGTGAAATTTGATTTTCTTTCTCTTGTCCAGCCCTTGTACAGATCAGTGCAGGCCCAGTGGTTTCCATTGTGGATTTGGGAATAAAATGTTAACCTTTAATTGTCAGTGTTGTGCTCTATCACACTCTGTAAAACTGGGGAATGGAAATATGAACTTTTGGGTGCCAGAGCAGCGCAGACTCAGGTTGGCCCCCACTGTACATGAACAGCTCTCACCTTTCTAATCTTTAAGAAAAACACCGCCAACGTGCTCTTCATTTACATTCAAAACAGGCTCTTTTGTTTGCAATTAACCTTTGACTCGTGAACGTTTGACACTGTGTGTCATTTGGCCTCGTTCAAAGCACTTTGCTTTGGCTCCCCTCCTCATTACGTGGACTTGAAAAAATTTGTTGACTCTCAGCATCCCACAGCTTGTTGTCAGATTCATTTAGATCTATAAACCCCTCTGAGGGTTTTGTCTCCAATGGCCTAGCTTGATGTCTGGCTGCATTACCAGATGTTGAAAAGTCAAATTCAGGGTCCGTAGCTACTTCACTGGTCTTTCTGCAATGTCTTGGCCCAGCTTCATGAAATACTTCACTTCTCACAAACCAGTCAGAGCCAGTGAATATGTGCACCAAGGCCTGAAAGCACAGTTGCATAAGATTGCATTTTAAAAGTGTTCTGTCACAATACGATGACAGAAGAAACATGCTGTGCTGGCCTTTGCAATGAGCACCAAGTGGTGAGAAAACCTCCACTTACAACCTTAAAATACAACCCACCTCTGAGAAGTGTATGCTGGGGACAGAGTGCGTGGAATAACAACTGGTTTGAAAATGGCAACAGGACCTCATACAGATTTAAGCTCTTAAACAGAGACTTTGTGTTTAATATTTTCCTGTATAGTTAGGATCTTAAGCTTTACAGTACATATCGTGCTGTTCAGTTTTAGTTAGGATCTATGACAGTATAGCAGCATATATTTTTTGTAATTCTAAGGCCTTTTAGTTTGAGGGAAGTAGCAGCTTTAAAGCTTTAAAGCTGGGGTAGGCAAAAATCTGGAAAAGGCAAAAAACGGCAGAATTTGAATTCACCCTCCTCCTGCAGCTCCCCCCTCTCTGTCCTAAGCCCCTCCCATCAGACGACCCAGTGTTTCCCATACATTGTTTTATTTAGCCTGATCATATTTTTATTGTAGAGTTGCACACAATATATTCTCTCTGTTGATCAGACCACAGTCCCTCTCCCTCACTCCCCACCATTGTGGACTGCTCTGCATAGAGGAGAGCTCGCAGTAGTTCTGGAGGCCGACCTTCTGTTGCCCATTGTAGCAGGTCAAATTCAGCCAGCGTAAACCCCACAGCGCCAGGTGTCACAGCAGGCTGGTTGTGACTGGCAGGGCTGGGTCTAACCTGTGCAACGGCAGCAACAGAAAGTTTGCTAATCTTGCAGGGAGTTGGGGCTGTCCATATTTTATGGCTGTTGGGAGAAATTTGCCTTCAGGGTTTTAAGCCAGATAGACCTCAAGTTTTATGAAAGAAGGTGATGGTTTGGGTTTAAATGAAAAGTATTCTTCAGGAAAGGACTTTGTGACAGAAAGACCTGAAAGTGAACTTGTCCCATGTGCTGTTTTATGTGTGTAAGTGGAGTCAGTTTAAAGTAAATTTTGTTGTCCAAAGAATCGATTTGATATCGTATCATGATGAAATCAGTGTTTTACACCCCTATTCATTGACTGGGGGTCCATCTCCAGAGCTGCTGCAAGCTCTCCTCTCGGTGAGGTGAAGTGAGGTGGAGGACACACTGTGATTCAAGGCTCAAGCTAACGTTAGCTAAATAAATGTGAACTTGAAGTCACAGTAATGGGCGTTCGGCACCAGTTAGCAGAAGGCTTAACTATTAGCAGAGATGGGACCAAGTCACACATGTGCAAGTCTCAAGTAAGTCTCAAGTCTAAGGTTATGTCAAGTCAAGTCAAGTCCTGTAATAGGTCAAGTCAAGTCCAAGTCAAATCACCTTATTATTGTAATTTTACCTGCAGAATCTGATCTTAATAAAGTCAAAAGACAAGATATAAGTAACTGTCAGTAAACACTGACTTCATCGCTGCAATGATGAAGTCAATGATGAACCAGTCGGAATGTTCGCTCACGTTTTCTGGGGTTAATGTTAGCAAATAAATTAAAAAACAAGTTCCACCAAACCGACACACCCCCCCACCCCACCCCCATATCGTATCAAGCTAACGTTAGCTAACTACCGACTAACCAGATAATATTAGCTAATTGACAAGCACTTACTGGGCAGAATGGCTCTTCAAATGACGAACAGTTTGAAGTTGTCGCCTGGCTGTCCGAGATGTTTATGCCGCACGTCTTCCACTGTGCTGTTCGTCTTTTGCCGTAATAATGGTAATTCCGAAAGCCGAAGATGATGACTCTCGTTACCCCTCCCGCTGACATGTTGATGCCTATCTGATATAAGAGCGCCCGTTTCTCCAATAAACACGTAAGGTACGTAGAGAGGGCATGACTGATTGACAGGGTAGTGATCCAATCATGACAACGCCATTCTCAGCCTGCGCTCTTACCGGGTAATCAACATTATTTTTTTAATTAATTTATTAATTTTGTATTCTAACCGAAAACATGATGTGAATAACACTCAAGTCATTCAAGTCATCGTGTCTCAAGTCAAGTCAAGTCCTGAGTCTTTAACTTCCAAGTCCGAGTCAAGTCTCAAGTCTTTTATTTTTTGTCAAGTCAAGTCACAAGTCATTAAAACAGCGACTCGAGTCGACTCGAGTCCAAGTCACAATGACTCGAGTCCCCATCTCTGACTATTAGCAAAATTTTCTCTACATCTCTGAAACACTTTCCTGATATTGACACGTGTTTTCTTTTGTTTATTGTCAGACTCTCTTTTTGATAAGTTCATCTTCCTTTGTTGGGTCGCTTTGCAGTGTTGGCAGTTGTTGCCAATGCTAGAATAGCAACTTTGTCTGCAGTATTCTTCGTCATTGAATCAGGCTTTCACCGTCTGAAGGGACATGCACTTGCATCCTCATTTGTAGAAGAGCCAATAGGAACGCCCTCTCTCTGAAATGACCTGTGATTGAGCAAAGTCTCCCGTCATGGTCCAGATTTTCTAAAGCTTGAAACGGAGTCAAGAGGAGGTGCTGAGGTCTAGTGTTCTCTCAGTCCACTTGAATTACAATAGCTCAAGGTTTATTAGGGATTGTTGCCCAGTGACGACAAAATTTACCTACCTACCCGAGCTTTAAAAGCAAACTTTAACTACAGAACAGCATCAGTTTTACTAGAGGCATGAGAGGTGGTTGTAAAATAAGAAATAACTATGACCAAGACAAGCTGGAAGTAGATAAATCTCGGTGAGCAACAAAGGCTGCAGGCAGAAGAACTGACCGAGTGTTCAGATCAGAAACAGCTGCGTTGGTGCAGGCATGTTGTTACTGATGATAGCAGTTTTAAATAACAAATCCATGAGTCTGAAGGTTTATCAGACACAAAATCACTGCATAGCAGTTTGTAGCATTATGACATTTACGTTTAACAACTTTGGAAAAGTAATCTCATTGAAAATTATTTTATCATCCTTTGTATCTGTAATTTACATTGAATGTGCACCTGCATGTCTAGATCGGCCTACACAGTGCCTTGTGTTGCAGCTGTAACACTACATTTTTTGATATGGTAGCCTCACTGAATTAGGGTGTGTGTTTTATGCAGTGTTGTTGTCTGTCTGAACATAGCCTAAGGACATTTGCTTGCTCTCAGTGTAGCATTGAAACAAAACGAGGAAACGAAGACAAAGAACCAGAGGTAGACATGATAAAAGTTCTCCATAAGGCAACATAGCCAGAATGTGTTAGACCAATTGCAGACAGTCAAACAAGCGAGATATTGTATGAAAAATGTGAAACATTTCTCCTGTTTAGTGTGTCTTTTTCTCCCAAGAACCTGCCGAACTTACAGCAGGTACAGTATGTGGTCACATCAATTGACAGTCCATACTTGTCCTCCGTTTTGCGGTTCCTTTTGCTTCACAGTGTGATTGTCTGATCTTATAGTAGGAACTTTGTTAGTTTGTTAGAGTTGCAATCATTACCAGCAACTGTCTTTTGTATCTTAAATGATTTGTTGCAGTTCCACACAATGACGTTATCATTTTAAATGATGCAATATCAGTGTCTTTACATTATCTCAAAAGATCTCTCCATCTTTCTTTCTTCATCGCTTTCTGTTCAGGCTAAATGTTACTATAATACAGAGGTTACCTCAGATCTCTGCTTTAAACAAGGGTGCATTTACAACAGAATAATATAATATTCAGCCATTTTGTATCAAAGGTTCAAAGTTTGTCTTAAAAAACTGAACAAAGCAGCACACCCTCAGTAACTGGGCCTAATTTCCAGTTTAGCATCAGGTCTGTGAAGTCTCTGCTTCAGGAAGTGTCAAAGGATCAAAAGCCAGAGGTATTATCCATATTATATATCCCATAACAAAATGCAGTCATTAGCGAGCAGGTTATTGAGTCAGTGGTGACGTGTGATTGGTCAGGTGTCCTCGTTAGGTTATGTCCAACCAATCGGGTCGCTTGTGGGGCTTGCAGGTGTGAATGTCCACCACTTCCTCGCAGTCTTTACACTCCACAGCGCAGCACCACTTGAACTTGCACTCGCACTTGGTGACACGTTTGACACGCATGGTGTCGTAGCCCCGCCCACAGCACATGACCTCGCAGCCGTCTGTGCCTCTGGAGGACTTGTTGCACACTCTGCCTGCTGTGCCCAAGGAACCTGTAAAGAAATGTATGTATTTGCATTAGAAAGAAAATCCTGATTTTCTTCTGGCGTGATGTTTGTTTGTGAGAGAATTCTCAACACGGCAATTTTCTGCACTTTACCAGCACACAATAAATAATAGAACAATTTTAAGTTTGAAAGAAAGGTAGGCTCCTCCTGAAAGTAAATGTTCATAATTGATATTGTTTAATTTTTAATTTTTAGAAAAAAATCTTTGTGTTAGGGCGGTTTTGTTATTTAATGAATAAAAAAATGTATATTTGTTGTTACTAAAATTCAAATTCTGTAGGATAGCATATAGTTACTTTAATAAATAGTACAGTGGCGATTTCTCAGAAAATCTACTCATTTTGGGTTTGGTAAATAGAATAAACATCTTACTGACAGACTTGAAATCTAAAGTTTTGCTTTTTTTTAAAGCATTATTGGAAAGACAGAGAACAGTCAAAAACTTGAAACTGTATTTAACCAATGCCATCGTAGGTTAAAGCCCTTAAAATGTTACAGGCTGGATCATACAATGACATACATGTACAGTACATCAAATTCCTGTACCCACACGTAGCCAAAAGTCTCAGTTTTCAGACTTGTCGTGCAGGGAAACAAAATGTTTCCTATGTCACCTCAAAGTTTTATCCAAGCACTTTCCTTCTTCAAAGCTGCATTGATAGATTTTTTTGGCCACTTGGGGGCAGGAGAGCAGGTTGTAAACATAATATTGACATATTATAAACTTGACTGAGCAAAGGAATTAGCAAACATTTGCTTATTTAAACATCCAACAGAGTTGGAGCAACATTAGCATTCATTTGAAGTCTTTCTTCCCATCAGTCAGGGTCTAATATTATCATTGGTCCCCACCAACACTTGAGGGAAATATCTGGGACCGGTTGCACAAAACACCTTTAGTTTTCTCCTAAAATATGACTTTTGAGGGACTTGCACAGTTGCACAGAATCCCTTAAAAGGTTTCTTTTGTTAAGGAAAAACTCATTTAGTGCATTGAAAAAGATTTCACAGCGGTAAAAGTTTCCATGGAGATGGTTGGTTTGCTTGGACTCATGCTTGTAATGCCTGTTAGCATCTCACAAAATTGGCTTATGGTTAGATAGTGAAAAAATGGCAGAAGAAGAGAAGACAAGAAAACATTATTGGTCAGAGGAGGACAAGATTATACTTCTGGAGGAATGTCATTATACAAAGCACAAACTACAAAGTAAATTTAATCCCCAAATACCAGTAAACAGAATACTATCGTAGGAAGTAGCAACAAAAATTAATTTAGTCTAATCTATAGTGTAAAATCAAAAGCATATCCATGGGGTTCTTGTGGTCGCAGAACACCCGTCTCGGGATGTGTTAGTTTTTTTCACTCATCACCATAAACTCGGCCATGTTGCAGTTAAGATAGAGTCAGAGGTACCTTAAGGTTTTCTTTTTTATCTTGCTTTGACTGCTAAGGTCTTTTGTGCAACGGTCAAGGGATTCCTTAAGTATAAGACTGAGACAAGGAGAAAACCATAAATACTTAAGTGAACATTTAAAGGAAACATTAAGGACATTTTTATGGAAAATCTTAACTTGAGGTGTTTTGTGCAACTGGCCCCTGGCTCTTTAGCTGGTATGTTGTAGTGTAATGGTTGCTGGCTAGTTGCTATCTTTGTCTGTCTGCTGGTAGGTACAGTAGTGGTATTGTTGGATATCTGATTGACCCCTTTAACATTACACACATTCGATCCAATGATAAGAGAAGTCTTAATAAGTGCAGCTTTAAAGGAAAATGGAACTCACTTCTACCTTTTCTATTGCACAAACAGTAACTCTAGTCACGCTAGTCTGTCGTCTTTAATAGTTGGTTACTCCGAGGCGCCTATTAGCTCAACTTAATCCCATTTTGGAAAATGTCCAGTGATGTCATTCTGTAGAACTGCTCATGTTGGCAGTTGACCCCCTCTGAGCACCAGTGAACATTTTGAAAGTGAAATATCACTTTTCCCACACTCTCTGGCAGGGTATTGGTTTACGGACATGCTAACAGAGTAGTCTCAGACAAACATGGAGGTGTCCATGTACTCAGGTGTAAAACCTAAGCCTAAGATCAGATGCCACGTCTAATAACAGAGCATCCCTGAAGTAAAGAAAAAAGGATAAGGGGAGATATTCCCCTCAGGCTCGGGAGAGTGGAGTTTAACACTGACCAAAGGAAGGATTTGAAAAATAAGCCTGCATGTATCCTTAGGCTGTGAATTCCTATACAATGGAGATTAGTGGCGAGGAGGGTCATAAGCTCCTTTTAAGATCACCTTTTAACAAGGAAAGACTGCCTTTGCTTTGAGTGTACACACCTTCATTACCCCACAGTTGTTGAGCTGCAGCCAAGCCAACAGAGAATCTGGTACCATCATGTCCCCTGCTCATACGCACTACGCTGTCTTACCTATTAACAGTGAGCTAGTGAACTCCTTCAAGCTCTATTTAAGATGCTGAATTGGAGCAGAGAGACAGAGCTTAACAAGGTAAAGCAAACACAAGGAATTGAGGGAGATGTTAAAGGTCAAATCATTGAACGTTAAGCTGTGAAGGAATGCAAGGCTTCAGTGGACGAGTCTCTGATACTCTTAGATTTTCACAGTGACACAGGACCGACCACCTGTTTGACTTGTGTCATAACAACATTCTCAGTTGTCTTTTTAAAATGGGAAATTTGGTGTTGCACTGTTTTATTTTAAGTCATTTAATTAGAATGTAGATTGACAATGTCTCGCTGATATAAAATCTGAATTAAAAATACATGTGTTATGTCATGTTATCTCCCAGTTAAGTTTTTTTGGCCTGGATCCCAATCCAAGACCTTTTCAATATTTGGTATCTGCTAATAAAAAGTCCAATCTGGTAATGATGTTATTTTAGCTAATACCCACCCGTTAATTAAAATATGCTCACATCATCCTGGATATGATCCTTGGGATTGACTCGGGACCACTCTATCACACACAATGCAAATAGTTTTAAACGAAAGCTGTTCGTAGCAAGGTCTGTACCAGGGACATCCTGTTTGTTAGTAACACAGATGAGGCATTCTTGGAGCGGAGGAACTTTTCCATAGTTTTTAAAACCCTCCTTTTTGTTGTGTCCGCACTGCAAGAACTGGGAACAATCGTAGCTCTTAGAAATGCCATTCAGAGTGAATTTAATAACTCCTATATCACAGTAGGAACTCTCCTTGCACAAGAGAAACCATGAGCGATCTAAGTGTATGGTGATTGGTTCAGACATAAGTGTACGTTGCTTGGTTGAGCACAGCCATTGCAGCACCAGCAACCGCCATTTTTAAAAACCTGTTAGCTGCTGTTAACAGTTAGTTAGACAACACAAACAGATGGAAAAAAACACAGGTAAATGGACTGAGAGTGAAGTCCAGACTTACCAAGCATATATGCAATGGGGGAAAACAAAAGTGAAGTTGCTATGCTAACCGTTAGCTAGCTTATGTCACTTAAGCGTTCGTATTGGCGGTGTGAATGTAAACAGCAAAAAAAGACCTTGAAGGTGTGTAGTTCTCAGGGGAGCTCCCCGGTTGGCAGTTCCTCTCAGGGGGTCCCCAGAATGGTTTGGTCCAAAAACGCCTATTGTTGCTGAGTGTATCAGATACCCTAGATCCCATTCTATTAGATTTGCTTTTAAGGGCCAGAAACCAAATGCTCATTACCAATTATATATTGAGGTGGTGGCAGTATTCTGGTGGGAGACTCAAGGAACAAGACATTGCAGAACACAAAAAGGAATTGAGAAACAGTGACGTCATTACATAGTTTGTCCACCAGCACTGACAAGTTTATATTTCTACTGTAAAGTGTCTGTTCAGTGTATATATAATGGTTTTCCTAATCCAAAAATATTTGTCTTTGTTCCGTGTTCATGCAACAAAATGAATTTGGGCAGATACATACCATAAGGGGTGCACAGGAGAATGTTTGTGTGATTGGGGTGCACTGACCCTTTGAAAATAAGCATGATTCAACAGTGAAAAAGAGCACTATCGTCATGCAAATTTAAAGCCACCATTGTCTTTATTTCACTCTATGAGTGTCAAAAGTATCAGTACAAATTTTCACTCTTTGCAAGGAGCTCCTCATTTCCCCATGAAAAGACATTAAGTTTAAGTTTATTCACTTTATTAATCCCCCTGAGGGGAAATTCAACGTTTTCACTCTTGCTTGTCAATTCTTAATTCTTCATTAATTCATTGACTCACCTGCTGCACGGTCCGTGAGACAGTAATCTGGCGAGTTCTCGACATACACTAACTCATTCTTGGTGCTTCCCTTGAAGTCCTTGTCAGCCACCATAAAGCCCGTCCCGTCCTGGTTCATGGTCACCTCGATGGCTGTGTTGTACTTCTTGCGAAGGTAGTCTCCAGTTCGCCTGAAGTCCGACATGGCGAGCCAGCAGGTCCTCAGAGAACAGGAGCCACTGACCCCGTGACACTTGCACTCCAGCTTCATAAAGCGCTTCACTGCCTATAGCAGAGGTCAAAGGTGACAGGGTGTTAAGCCTATGATGTTGCCCATGGCATGATGAAGATGTGATCACAATGACTGGAGTTAACTTGAAGTTATTTTCCTCCAAAGACTTTTGGACACAACCTAGCCTGTCTGTGTTATACCTAAAAGTAAATATACCAATTCATAATGTATTATGCTAGGATAGTAGATCTCACTTTGTTGCCTGTTGCAGAAAGTGTTGTCGTCACACAAACCCAGAAGAATATTTTACTCTTCTTCTCTTAAACAGAACAACACATGGGATCATTGGCCGGCTACATGGATAAAATATTCTGCCATCGTGACATTCATATTAATATAAGCTGTGAGACTGTAAATTTTCTGAATATTCAATTGAGATTGTACTCACATGATTAATTGATATAGTCAGTCAACATTCAATTAGCATATATTTAGATAATTGGTTAATTTTATAAGTTATTATTTGAGCAAAAATCCCAGACATTTAATGGTTCTCCAGCTTCTCAAATGTAAAAATGATTATAAACTGAATGTTTTTAAATTTCAGACTGTTAGTGTGGCAGTATGATAATATGGAACAACCCATTTGACTGGTAGTGGAACTAAAACAAAGCCGAAACATAATCCAGTTCAAACATGTGTCTGTATATGGGTGTATATAGGTGCACATAGTAAATAGCATTTTATGTATCTATTTATTTATACATGTTTATACTATAATTCATACGATATAGCATTTATATCTCAGTTATGAATAGATTTCTATATTTTTGATATCTTAAAAACCTAATATTAATTATTCTTTATTATATTGTTAAGAAAAATATAATACAGAGTCCAGGGGGTAGGACTATATAAGTTTTGTACTTCCTCCTACTCCCTTTCGAACATGTTAAGACTTGTCGAATACAATATACAGTATACTTTTATTTGTTTCTTAGCACTTCCTTGTGCGGTCCTATGTTGGTGTTTTTTATTCTGTCTTCATGTTTGAAATAAAGATTTTGAAAATTGAAAATTGAAAATTGAATAGCCGATGCCAATATTAATATATCCACTTTTTCCCCCTACCTAATTTTAGTGATCATTAAGTCTCTTTTGCAGTGGAATTAACATCATATTATGCATGCATACTCTTATCGTGATGACACACCAGTAAATAAAGACATTAAATACAATGCCTTTTCAGAGTATGTAATATTCACTCATTGTGCAAAATCAGAATAAGTGTGTTGGCCAATATCGGCTGATATGGATGACGTGCCAATACTATCATCCATTCCTACTGTTAGGTTGAGAGTGCCATTATCAAGCCAAGAAATGAACCTTTCAGCTCGATAAGGCTTTCACCGAGGAAACTGGGGTTTGAGTCCCATGTGAAACCATACACCCAACCACGATCTTTTCTAGACCTTAACTTGTAGTTTTGGTGCCTAAAACTAAGGAAAGTGAAAGTGAAAGTGAAAGTGAAACCTAAGGAACTGGTAATGGCCACTGAATGTGCTGATAACAGCCTTCTCAACCCACTAGTTGGTGTAGCAGGCCTCTACTGTGCCATATCTATGAGGCTTAAAACCACAGATGATGTCCATTTAATGGACAGATGACATCCCAATGAGGTGCACTTAGTCTGACAGAGCAAGACATTTAAATATATTGCGAGAAATTGTATTTTTCATTGTTTTCTGGGGTTGAATACATAAAATAATGTGTAGATTAATTGTTTACATAAATGATTGTTAGTTACAGCCCTACTTGAGATATAGATAAATAACCTGTCGGGAATGGTATTTTTGCCTAGCCCAGTAAAATAAAAAACAAACAAACAAATAAATGCTGTTTTATCACATTGATACAAAACTCATGGACAACGTCTTGCTTCTTCCAGGGCCTTTAACCACCTATCATGGGTACAAAGAGCTGTAACTCCTTGTATACATCCTGTATATACTGCAGTTAGATACTTTAACTCCATCTGCCGAATAAAGCTGCTGCTCACCATCCGACCACACCGGTTGTTGTGCAGGTTCATCAGAGCACGAGCGTCTTTAACCATCCTCTCTCGAGCATCCACAAAGGCCTTGGCAAATTTTATGCCGTAGTTGATGTTGTCACTGCATCCTCCCCAGTCGAAACTGCCCCTGTCGTCACTCGCTCGCCCTCGCTTTTGGCCGTCACAGTTGCAGATCTTTAGCTCCCCCTGACTGCAGGCCCTGGTAATGGCATACACCACTCCTGCTGAAGAGATGGCGTAGACGAACGCTGCCTCACGGCTGCCTGAGTGCAAAGAAAAGGGAGACATTTCAGTTAAATTCTTTAAAGAATGATGTATTATTTTTCAGTGGAAAAATATTTTTCATTTAAAGGTCTTGTAAATGTTGTCGTAAACCACGCCACAGCTGGTTTTGTTGCTGTCTTTGATAAGCTGTTCTTTTAATGCCCGAGTTCACTGTGTTACTGCTCAGTAAAGCAGCCTTTCTCCATTATATTCCAGACAGCAGGAGCACAGAAATCAGTCCATTTATGGTGGATGGTCCAGACAGAGGTAGCAGCATGTCAGCTATAACATCACAGTCCAGCCGACTCTCCTTTCACCTTTTAATTTGCACAGATGGCAGCTTTCTCAGTCACTGGGCTGTGTTTTCATTTCAGACAAGAGGAGATTTTGGGGGTTATTTGGTCTGGCTTTCCCACCCACCTCCTGTTCTCATTCCTGCTCATGCAATGAAGCAGAACACAGGCGATATGTCAGGGAGTAAAGCTTTGTCTGGCTGCCAGAAACATCTACCCAAATATTTACATCTCCTATTACTGTTTATACATCACCAGTGTGGATCTCTCGATCTGCTACTTGTTTTCGGAGAACATCCACTTTCCCAATCTTCCCTCATTCCAGAGAAGGTAAAACAACCCCACAACACTTTCTCTTTCTGTTTGTATTCCAGGGCAGAGTTGATTTAATGAGACACCTATTAATTCTCTGCTTATCTGGTAACAGCGGAGACATTTACGAGGATGATTAACTCAAGTGTCACTGACATAAACAACCACTGTCACGCACATACAAAGAGCCACACAGATGGAAATCTCAGTCACACGTGTGCAGACTCACTTCGCAGCATCACCCGGCCAAACACAGTGTGGTCCCGGTCCAGCGTGCTGCAGTTCCAGCGGTGGTGTCTGAACTGGTGCTGGCACTCTTTGATCCACTCTTTGGCTCCCTCGCCGATGGACTGCATCAGGTCCGGGTGCCGCTGGCACAGCTGCCGCTGCTTGTTCACCAGGCCGGGAATGTTGTCACAGATCACCCGAGCACCCAGCGCTCCGATGTACCTGCAGACACAGTATTGATCATTAAGTTAAAGGGGCACTCCACCAATTTTACACAGTTAATCATCATGTGGGATCACATCTCAGTCTGTGTCGAGGTGTGCAGCATTTTGTCTTCTGTAGCTCAGGGGGAGCAGTGTAAAGTCTGAGAAAGTAACCCATGATGATGTCATGATGATGTCATACAGGTTATCTCAGCTCATGTGGCACTCACCCAGTGTCGGCAGAATGTTCACGCATTATTGCAAGATGGTTACCCCCGCTGCTAACTTATAATTCACACCAATAAATGGCCTAAATTAGCTACTGTTGCTGTGTTATGTATTTGTCGTGGTTCATTACCAAGTAAATTCAGATTCAAACACACTGTGTGCCTCATTGTGAACAAAATTAATTGTGTCAGTAAAAATATGATGATGATGGCTTTGAAGCCATTTTGCTGCTGGTTTGTTGACCCTTAGTTCTTTTCACCATGTGGGAAATTCCCAGCATCTCCACTTCGCAGTTACAAGTGGGAGGATGACGTGATTGTTTTTTTCTGCTTGTAATTACAGTCTAAACGATACGACGGGAATGAAGCAGTTGAGAGTATGAATTTATAACAAGGTCTGTGTCACAAACTTCTGCGGTGGAGTTTGAAAGAGGTGGTGTTTGGGTATTGATGGATCCAGCATTTTTAAAGTCTGATGAATACTATGTACAAAAGATTGGGATATCTCTGTCTCTGCTGCTTTGATTTGGCTGTAATTTTTCAGTCTTTCACATGTCCTTACAATGTTGTGGAAGTGCAATATGAATCACTGGGTCACCCTTTACAGGAACAGTTAAGGGAAATATGCTGATTCTAAGGCTCACCAATTATATATTTTGTTTGTTTAAAGGAACACTGTGGAAGATTTTGTGAGATTTAGTGGCGTTGGGTGGTGAGGACTGCAGATTGCAACCAGCTGAAACTTTGAAATCCTTCAGTTTTCCTTGTTCAGGGTTTTTTTTTTAATGGTAGCCTAGTTATCTGCAGAGGTCTCTTTCTCTCCAAAACAAACACTCCTGGTGATTTAAACCAGTAAAAACACAGAATGAAGCAGTTTCACATTACAAATCTGTGTTTCTCCTATCACAGACAGCCTGCTTTAAACTGGTAAAAACACTAAATAATGCAGCTTCATGTTCCAATGCTAGTCATCATAGAAGGGCTGCGAACTATTGTGCCCAGCGCGAAAATGTGAATGGCCTTATATACGTAGAGCCAGTTTTTGGTTTGACTGTTGTGGGCTACTGTAGAAACATGACGGTGCAACATGGCGATCTCCGTAGAGCAGAACCCGCCCCCTATGTAGATATAACGTCTCATTCTAAGGTAACAAAAAACACAACAATTCTTATTTTCAGGTGATTATGCACGAAACAAAACATATATCTCTATATCTCTATATCCTACACTGGACCTTTAATCCATGCGCAACCTCAAACAGATTTGTCCATATATGGTGGATGCAATTTGTTTTGCATTTAAGATTTTTGTACAGATTAGATTAACAAGATACAACGTGTTAGTGTGCTTTGGAGATGTTAGGTTTATGTATATTTTAAGAAGCTAAAAAATTATATTCAGCCACAAAATAAGCCGAAAAAGCTGGATATCAGAATGGAAGTACAGAGAGCTGTTGCATAGAGATGATACACCATCTCATCCAGTTGCATTGGTGTGAACCGGCAGGTTTTTGCAACGTTGCAGAACGGTGCGTTGGAAGTAGTTTCAACTCGTCTTGTTGCGAATCTTTGGTCTGAACTGGGCTTTAGCTGGCTGCTGTTTGTAGCTTCATATTTGCTGTACGGACAAGTAGGACTGGGTATTATTTAAAAAATTCTGATACCAATAGAGTACTTTGTTTATTACCATTTTTTCTACTTCATTTTATTGTCTTCATGTGAATGGAAGCATTTAGGCGTGCAAAATACCACCATACTTTTGCATGTTTTGGTGGCATCCCGGCACGCTGAACTGCCAACTCCGTCAATACACCGTGCTCCACTTCACCACAACACAGACTGGATTGGTTGTAGCTGCTGCGATCGAGGGCCTACTGCATGTCGCATTAATTCGTAGAACGCTTGTGGTGATTGGCTGCGAGAAAAACCATAGAAGATGTCTGGTTTTTCTAGATCTTGATACAAAAAAGATCAAATGCAGGTGTCGTTTGGCTGGAGAAGTCTCAATAGTACTTGGTACTGGGTTATTTCGGTCGATACCTTAAAGGTATTGAGTACTGATATCCAACCCTAGACAAGAGAATGGTATGAGTCTTCTCAGCTGACAGTAAGAAAGCCAAAATGTGGATCATTTCCTGCAAGTCTACATCATTGATTTGATTCCAACAAGTGCGCCTATTTTTCATACCGTCCATACCCCTTGTCTACTTGAGTCTCAGATATTCAGGATGTTGAAGCGATTATTAAATTCCTCACATTCAGTGAAAAGCACCTCTCTCCCTGTGACAGGCCTTTGCTTCCTGCTCTATTCACACATAATCCCTCACTTTGTAGCAACTCTTAAAAGGGTGGATCACATGCTGGTGGCATTGTGACACTGGGGGGGCCTCTTATCAACAGGACAGTCATCTACAGTGCAAGTGACCACTCAGGCCTTACCCTCCCAGCCTTGCAGATCGACCATATGCAGACGCAGTCCCCCCCCCCCCCTTTTCTCCTCCCACCCTCCCTCTCTAAGCCTGCACGCTTCACTCTCCATCCGGATATCATTATAGTCCCTAATCGCAGCCACATTTGTGTCGCCTGGCCACCGAGACAGAAACGGACGTAGCAGGCAGTTTCCACTCCCGTTATGGGTGTCCCAGTCCCGTTCTAGCTGCGACTATCTGCCTGAGCAGTAAAGCAGAGCAGAAGCACTACTTGTGTTTATTGTGTGTCATACACACCGGCTGTGCCAAAAGACCCCTGACTGTCTCCAAGAGGACACACACATAGAAAGAGAGAGAGGGGTAGGGGGTCCCTGTGCAAGCAAGACACACAGTGCTCATCTGAATTATCGCAACGGTTAAAAATAGGCCCTAACAACACAAACCAGGATTGAATAAGTATTAATCATGGGGACACAAAGCTTCCAAAGGTCTCCTGCTCTGTGTCTCTCTGTTTCTCTGGAATGTCTCAGCGTTTTAATCACAGTGTTAATTCATAACATATTTGCATAAGACAGCAAAGGAATTGCTCAACGGAAAATAGGATAACATATGCTTTTGGCTCTCTTGGGAAATTACAATTCATAACACTATTTACACAGGGTTCATGTTTAAATCTAAATCCATGTGTAAAACAGAGGCTAATTGTGATGTGGTGCAGTGCAATCAACGATGAAGAGCGAAACTGCTTCAGTGTGGCTGGTTAAATATAAAGTGCACATCAAATACAATTTCTCAAAGTGTGACCTGACACATAGGAACAACTATTTCATGTGGGTGGGATAAGAGAGGGGGGTGCTTACACCCTTCCATGTTTTTTTTTCTCTCCTCTGAGCATTTAAAACCTCAAGAGAAATCATCAAGGGGCATTTATTCATGCACCAGCGCCTGCACCTGCCACTCGCTCTGGGCAAGATGGATGGATAGGGGAGATTCCCCCCAACACCATTAATCTTCATAAACACATGACACACATAGCTGCGCTGAACATCTCATTTTGCATTGATGTTTTTAGAGAAAATAGCACAAAAATTCCCACGCAGAGGTGAAATAAATGTGCTCCATGGTCATCTTTTATTTGACTAGACACGTTATGAGTTTATTTTTTTGTGGGGTTGTTGGCAAAAAAGCAGCAGAATGCCTCTGGCAAGATGAAAGTTTTAGATCATGTTGGTCAGATAAGCAGAAGACATTTACTTTGTTTGCCTTTATCATGAGAGAATTTTCCAGCTTTACACCTGACAGAGGAAAAAATGAGTAAATGGTAAACTTAAGGGTCAAATTCAGGTATTTTTTAGTCATGTTTGCATCAAAACTTCTTTTTGCACTGTTTTTGTCATTATTGTAAATTTAAACATTCAAATATCAGCAATGCACTTTACAGATGTGACTCACCACCACGATGAATCCACTCTGGGTGTAAAAATAAGCAGGAGCAGAATAAAAAAGAAGTATATTTTAGAGATGGGTTTGGAGTGATGCTGGACTTTTGTCCCATGTCTGATCCCCATAGCCCTGCTGCTGTCTGATAAGCTCCGAGATTTCATCAGACAAAACATGTTTCTCCTTCTCATGTGTTGGCAAAAGCTGCAGAGGCAGGTGTGACAGTCCTGGACGGGTGTCTGCCGTCCATCATCGGAGAACTAGAAGAACTTCACAAGGAGGAGAAGTGCGCTTAAACTCCACCGGTTAGCATTTAATGATGCCATGCAGAGTATCCATGTGCATCCATGATCTTCAGTGGCGTGAGCAGAATAAGTCCTTCGTTGTCTTGTGTTAGTAATAAATTCACCTTCTCTTCTCCGCTGTTGCGCACCGACTTTAATATCACTGAAGTTGCGGGTTGTAACGCACAAAATCCGACACTGAGAATAAAGTCGATTAAATCACATACAAGTCGAGTGGAAGAAGTGGTTTTTCCGAGGATGGGACAGCCACTGTGCGCACCTTTCCTCCTGCAGCCAGGAATGAAGATGCGCACCGAAACGCGCAGCGCTCCGCTCCGGTGCGTCAGCTGTCTGTGACCCCCCTCCCTCCCTCTCTCCCTCCTTCCCTCCACCCCCACCCCTTTGTCTGAAAGTGGTATGTAGACCAACAGACAGCAGAGAAGGAGATGTGTATATTTAGTCTGATAGAAAGTAATCCCTGCCTGTGATGTCTGCTGGGTAAAAATCAACACTTGTTGCTACTTCAGAACAAACAATACCACACAGTGATATTATGTGCCTGCACTCACCCTTCATGTCATTGTGTATATAATAAAGTTGTGTAATATTTCCCTTGGGGCTTTTTCCCTGTGTTATGCTTCAGCACTTTCAGTTTAATTCCCCAAAAATATCCTTGAGTTCAGAACCATTAAGGACTGTTATAACAGACTTAAAGTCCCCCTCCAGACACGTTTTAAAGTCTGTAAAAACACTCGGCTATGATTGATATTTCATTTAACACGGTTTTCCTGCATGAAAAGTCCAGAAAGAAAGTAAAATAAAACCTCTAAAAAAGGGTCTGTAAGCACATCTGCTCTGGAATGTATTCTAAAACCTGGAAATTTGTTAACATTTTACCACTCACGGTTCCCTCGTCTCCAAATCAAGGGTTTTTTTAATTTGACGCCTGAAATGAGGTCTCTGGTTAACACAAGCTTAAGAGACTTTCACGTTTTGTTCTACAACATAAAATACGTCAAAAAATACCTGACTCATTAATTTTGAAGCTTCTGTGTGTCTTAAAAAAGGTGGTTGCTAACAAGACGTGGCTAAATAAGACTACAGAACGTCATCACGTCGAGCTGTTATTGGGGTGATGTTAGGAGATGCGATCATGGTGTAGCTCTAATGTTAGCTTTTTACTTCAAGTGATTGCATTTAGGCTTCAGAAATCATGAAAGTGGTGTTCATGTGTGAAGATTATTGAAAAACAAAACATGTAAATACCATAAATGTTTGCCGCAGAGCTTATTTTCAGCAATGATCCAAAATCCAATGGGAAAATCCCATAGGCTTTTTTAAAGAGGGAACCAGGGCAATGCCTACTTCAAAAAATGTCATCCCATGGAGCACTCTATAGAGAAATTCTGGATCTGCAGTAGATGCAGTAGATTTCGCTTTCCAGCGTCTTCAGCGCGGGCACAGCACTAGCCTACAAGGGCTAAACTGGTGACCAGTTGACGGATGAAAGAGCAGTGTGCATCAAAATGACCGGGGTTAGCATTAGAGGAAACATCAGAGAGTTTCAGCCAAACGTGTTCCAGACTCAGTCAGACCTAGACTCAGATGAGGAGTCTGTTGTGCACCAAAATTGGCTATTAGCAGACGTATCAGAATGCTATGTGGAGTTAACATCTTGTGGCTCAGAAGTACGGCAGGTCTTCCACTCATTGGAAGATTAGTGGATGGTGGTTCGATACTCAGGTCCTTCAGTCCGCATGTTCAAGTATCCTTTGTGTGTGTGTGAATGTGACATGTAGTGTAAAAGTACGTTGAGTGTTCAGAAGACTAGAAAGGTGCTATACAAGTGCATTCCATTTGCCATTTATTTGTTTGTGTTGTTTATTAGCTTGTAGGCTAACTGACTGTGGTTGACAAAGCATTAATGGTTGTGAAATATATCTGCTATAAAGGGTTTTTGGTAATGTGGAAATCCAGATGCCCCGCCCCTAGCAAAGTCAAATTTACACTGCACAGGAATCTGGCCCTGACAAGCAGAGCCCGCTGAATCGGCTTTGGGTGGGCGTAACATGGTGAGGACAGCGCTGCGCCATAGGAGTCGAAAAGTAAACAGCCAAGATGGCAGCTGCCGAAGGACCATGTCCATTCAATTTAGCTTTGGAAGAAACGCTAAGCCAACTACACTTATCTTTTTCCTTGAGAGAGGAACATAAGTCTGCCCTAGAAGCCTTCATTTCCAGGAAGGACGTTTTTGCCGTTTGTCAACGGGATACGACAAAAGCATAGTATATCATTTAGCCCCACTGTTCGGCAAACAAATGGGGCTTACTGAATGAATACGTCACCTTGTTTTTTGCTCTGATTGGCTATCTTGCTATCCAATTGCGTGCGGCAGCATTTGAAATGCCTCAGTTAGTGCCGCCCCTTGGGTAGGAAGGGTGTATCAGTGAGGGCCAGACTCAAAATCTTTCTAGATTTGAGTCTGGATTTCCAGGCTAGGTTTTTGGTGGATAGTGGACAGAAGCTCCAGGGTCCGGTTCACAACCAAAAACTGCACACTATGATATTTCCCATCATAACCTTTACTGTGCCAATGCTAACTCTTCTCTCTGTATTGACAAGTCCACTTTGTGCTTGAGGTTTCAGGGTTTTCTGTTTTTCCTGTATTAGCCAGCACTTGGCTTTCATATTGGTGACGTACCTAAGCTAGCTCGCCTAGCGTACGTTTGAATCTTAGATTTTACGGAAGTGCACAGATATCGCCCCCTTTATAGGAATATGAAAACATCTCTCTGGTATCAAACTTTGCACAGATACAAGTCTGTATAGTCAAACTCAGACATTTTAGGGGACATAAACATAAGGAAAATTCATTTTTGAGTTGAGGGGGACTTCATTGTGTGGAAGGAACCAAATGCCTCCCATGGCAACCACGCTAAATAGATCATTTATTCACAGAGATTATTAATAGTATTGATACGAATGAAAACACAAGACAAAACATTGGTGTTTCCAATGAAGAAAAAATAGGTACGTCATTCCCAGTGTCTGTTTGTGTCATCAGTTTCGAGGAGAAAGTTTTGCTTGGTAACCTTCAGCTATGAGCGGTCAGGCTTTCATGCTTTGACACATCATTAAACAGGGACTTGGTGTCTCCATAGAGATAGCTAATCCTTCCCAGGGGGCATTTTAGACATTGTTTCATATGCCTGCTGCTCCAGTGTGATCAGTCTCAATTTAATGCTCCTGCAGAATTAAACACATAAAACATCTTTGCTGTTGCATGGAAGCCTCGTAACCAGTGATGTCTGAGATTTTAACTGGTTCAGGAAACCCATTTTAAGGCTCTTTCACAACTGTAAATATGCGCAGATTTCAGTCCAAAATCTACACTTGTTTCCTGAAAAGCTGCCCGGAGGTTTCATCAGTTAAAATAAATTAGCCTCAGAGGGTTTTACAATCTGAACAACATACGACACCACCTATCCTTAGAAAATCCTTTGGAGAAAAAAAACTGCCAAAACAAAAACAACCTTTAACGGGGAAAACAAAACAGAGAGATTCATCCATCAGGACGACAGCAATAGATTTTGCATGCACACAAGACAGAAATAATAAGAGTGATGTTACACAATGAATTTACAGGATGACAATATTGGGTAAAGTAGACTGCTAACAAGTGAAACATGTATCTGGGAAGACATTAAGCAACTTTACGGTACCACCGTTGGTCTCTACCACCAAGACAGAGGACAAATACACACAAGAAGCAAAACTCAAGGATACCATTCACACAGAGGGTGAAGAGACAAGACGAGGTGGAGTGTCTTGAAAAGGGAAAATCCAGATCCAGGATGTCTGGACTGAGGCACCAACATCCCAGACACTGAAAGAATCTAAGTCAAAGCTGAGACTCACAATGGACTGGAAGATACAGTAGAAGCAAATATTTTACACAAAGCATATCTGTGATACTGAATACATATCAGGGTTCAACGTTAATGTGTTCACTTGCCTGGTTGGGGTAATGGATCAGAAATTTACCGTAAAACTCGGTGTATAAGTCGCACTTTTTTCCCCTTTTTTTCATCTAAAAAGTTGGGTGCGGGTTATAGACCGGTGCGACCTATAGACCAAGGTAAATGCTGACATAAGTAATTTGACCCACAAGATGGCGCTACGTTAGGCTGACCAAGCGTCCTCTTTTGCCCGGACATGTCCACTTTTCACGTCCTGTCCGGGGAGTCTGGGGCGTCCGGGGGTCTTTTATAAACTGATGATAATGTCCGGTTTTCCGTGTGTTTGTGTGTGTGTGTGTGTGTGTTTGTTAGAGTGCGGCACGGGCCGCATCTTTCTGTCCGAACCCGAACCGAGCCCGACATTATTTAATGACCAAAGCACTGAGTTTGTGTCACACAGTGGTTACAGGCTATTTAACAGGCCGGGCGTGCGCCGTGGGTGCTCAGTTGCGGAGAGGGAGACCTCCGTATTTGAGACGGGAGCGGGAGGCGGGAGGTCCGACGCTTCTAGCGAGAGGAGAGGGAGAAATAAAACAAAATAAGATAAAATAGGAAAAACCTGTCTCCCTCTTTTATTTACTTTTCAGCGTTTAAACAAGGCGGAGGCGGGCGGCTGGAGGTCCGAGACTTCCAGCGAGGGGAGCAGTAGAAACAAACAGCCAATGTGTGTCTGTGTGTGTTATGTTCAGGTGTTGTCACGTAAATAACAGTGCCCAAGCAATAAACAGGACAGACAATAGGATTTTATTTATTTTTACACTACATTTTCACTGAAAGCTGACCGAATCCGACCCGGATACAGCTACATTTTTGACCAAACCCGGCCGACACGTCGGGTACCGTCGGGCTCAGATCGCCACACTCTAGTGTGTGTATGTGTCCCCTATTGGGGCCTATCTGAATTTCTGTCTTTGAGAGATATTATTTTGTAATGTAACTGAATTTTCTATCCATACATATAAATTTTTAAATATATTAAAATTCTAAGGCACCTTTGAGTAAACTGCGAGTATCATTTAAGTAGGCTATGTCCTCTTTTTTGGAAATCAAAATATGGTCACCCTACGCTATGTAGTAATTTAAACTCATTCATTTTTGGGATTTGAATAAGCATGTATAGTTACAGCCCACACTGTAATAAGTTACTGTAATGCTGTCTTCTTAAAAAAGAAAAAAGAAGTTTAACGTTAATTTAAACTCATTTTTATGGCTCAGATGTTGTTATACCGTAATTTTATTTCCTGAAGAGGTTGTTTGGAA